TCAATGTTTACACACACATTTTATTGTTTATCTTCTCCTCTCTCTCTATATATAATTATATAGTTATATCGTATATATATATATATATATATATATATATATATAGTTATATTTACATATACATGTTTTGGTTTTATAGTTTTCAAGTTTATACAAAAATGATTTTGTGAAAATATTGTTTTATTAGTTTATAGACTTAACAACCATAACATACATCTTTTATTAAGTCTATGAAATCAGTTTATGAAGTTTCAAAACATGGTTTAGTCAAAATGACAAAACAAGTGTTGCTGTATTTTCATGTTTTGGACTTTTTTTGAAAAATGATGAGTTTTTACTATTGAAGTGTAATTCCAAAAATTCTTTTTGTAACATGTTCATTTACATGTTTACAATGATTTCTCAAAGTTTTATATTTTTTGGAATTTATTTGCTATTTTTAAAGGCACTTCAAAAATTAGTTATACTATTCAAATCAGGCTGATACAGTGTTATCATTCGACTGTTGAATGTGTTCAGTCGACTGAAGAAAGCGTCTGGAATAACAAAAAGTTTTTGTTTTGTTTTGGTCGATTGACCAGTCGACTGATGAGGTCATCAGTCGACTGATAAGGTCCGTCAGTCGACTGATGAGCTGGAAAACGCCTCTAACGATCAGCTCATCAGTCGACTGATGCTGTAACAACTAGTTTTTTTAGCCTTTTACATATTTGGATTTTTGGTCTTTTTGCCTTGTTTTCTCTTGACTTTGGGGTTCCTATAAATACCCTCACATATCCTCAGTTTCATCAAGTTAAGAGAATTGTTTAAAACAAGTTTAAGGATGTTTTGTGTTTGTTTAAAAGAGTGTTTAAGAGTTTTTTATGTGAAGCAATTTTCATAAGAGCTTGAGGAAGATCATCAATTGTGTTTGAGCATCCAACTATTATCCCTCTCTCTCTCTTGATCTATAGAGAAATTTTTCTAAACTCTTATCTAGCTATTTATTTGTTTGTTTTTCATTTCCTTAAAGCTAGATTTATTTGAGTTTAGTTTGTTTTATTAAATTTCATTGTTACACACACCCACTTGAGGTTTTAGTATTTTCATACATAGTATAATTGGGGTTGTGAGAGATTATAACTTTGAGTTGTGCTTAATTGAGTTCTCGACTTGTATTAGAGAATAAATCATTTGTTGTGAGCTATAATTGTGAGGTTCACTTTGTAATATACTAGTACACCAAAAGGAGTGTGTGGTGAGAGACGGGGTCGTCCTAAGAGGAGTGAGGTAGGTGGTAGTGCCTAGAGAGAGGTTGTAATTCCTAACACTTGAGGGAGACACGGGCTAGAGACCAACACTTGATGTGGTAGTTAGTGTAGTTACATTGTGAGTGATTGTGAACGTTGATCGGTGAGCGTTGAAAACCAACATTGTGAGGTGTAAACGTTTTTCGGGTAAGCGTGGAAAACCCAGTGTGATAGTGGAGATCTCCTCGAGGTGAGGAGCGGAGACGTAGGTCGTGGGGACCGAACTCCGTGATCATATCGTTTGTTTGTGATTGTATTGGCGCACTTATTTTTGTGTTCATATCTTATATCGCCTTTGTCTATTGCTTATTATTTATATTCCCACTATCTTGTTTGTTTTCATATTGCCCTTAGTTTATTATCCTTGCATATATCTTGTCTATATCTCACTTGCTAGGATAATTTGTTAAGAAGTTTTAAATTGGCATAACTTGGATTAGATTAACATAAACCCTATTCAGCCCCCTCTATGGTTCCTTCCTAGTGGCTTTAGGGTGCGTTCAGACTCGAAAGACGGTACTTATCGGTTCTCTTGTCGAAGACGACCCACTACGAGCTCACTCGACCAGTTATTTGACGCCTCGTGAGGTTGACTTGAAAGGCATTACTTCTCGACCAAGCTAAAGGACGACTTCAACCTCGAGTCTCTCCCACTGACAATGCGTCAGCGTGACATTAAATGCTTGGCAGGCGCTATCATTCCTCTAGCCCCAATAGTCTTCATGACACATTGGACCACGACGGCACCACCATGCCCCTAATCACTTCGCATTAAATACCGAGGTGTCATCTCCTCCACTCGTTGACCGACACCTGTAAAGTAGGTGCTGGCGTAGCCGCCATGCCATACTGTATTCGGCCGAGATTATCGTTCTATCCTTTTTTTCGCCAATATAAATAGATGTACTATTCCAAATACCAAAGTAAGCAATATCTGAGAATTATACTGCACTACACATTTTTTTTTGTTGACAAGGGAACCTTGGTCAGTACCTCCACTTAAACTCCCTTTGGAGTCCGCCGCACCCCGGTTCAAATCCCCCCAGTCCCCAACAATCTGCAAGGAGCTACCCCTTAAAGTACCAGGGGGCTCATCCCTAGCAAACTTAAGAACTCACACAGTTCATCATTTTCCCATTCATGTCCATCAACTGACTTGATCGCCGGAGGAATAATGGGGGAACTAGTCCCCGTCCTCTCATGAATTTCTATTTGTGCAGGCTAAAGCTACTCAACTCAAGATCATATATTCGAAGAAGTTAACAGCACCCCAATCAACCTCACCCCCATTATAATATCTGTTTGATATTAACATCAACACAAACATTAGTTGAAAAGATTAAGTTAAGATTTTAGATTTCTAAAAGAGAATGACCATAAAATACATTTGATAAGTTTTATGTTTTATGATACATAATTCTCCTCACTATCACCTATAAATTAAAGTTTTATCTTTTTTTTATCCGAGGTAAGATACAGATTATTTTTTATTCACAAATAAAAACAAAATTGATAATTGCTAAAAGACACGTGCTATATACTAGTAGTAATTTATTAATGATGGTTAATATTAGTGATGATTAAAGTCTAATTTGTCATGTGATTCATGGTTTAAACCTTTCCTTCTCGACGTTCTCACGCTTTGACTTTACAAGGGGCGGCATTGCTAATCGATTTCCGCGCGTGTTAAACTTCTCGACGTTCTCACGCTTTGACTTTACAAGGGGCGGCATTGCTAATCGATTTCCGCGCGTGTTAAACACAAATTTCCACCCCAACTTTTAAAAACCAAAATTATCGAATTGACCACGTGGGCTTAATCAACGAGGGGCTTAGCTAAATGGGCGTTTTCCTGTCAAATTCATTAGAAATTCCCAATTCAACGCTCATAGAGAAAAGAGGAAGCGGGGGGGAAAAAGTCAAAATTTTTTCGTTTCTTCTCAAAAATTTTCGTCTTTTCTCTCAGGCCATGATCTTAGATGGTTTCTACTTGCTTTTTTCGTTTCTTCTCAAAAATTTTCGTCTTTTCTCTCAGGCCATGATCTTAGATGGTTTCTACTTGCAGAAAGAAGTAAGTGGTAGTAATAAGCGAATTATACCTTTTTCTTTCGTTTAAGAAACGGATTATTATGGTTTCTTTGGTAACTTGCTGTTCTTCGTTGTGTGAAATTAGGTTTTTGTGGTTGTTTGGATTGACTTCTTTCATCCAAAGGTGTTTGGTTTTCATTTATTATTATTATGGGGATGCTGAATAATTTGGTTAAAATTTGAAGAAATTCGCCAACTTATGATCTTTGATGCAGTAGGGGAAGTTTTAGATTGGCACTGAAAGATGCAGATAAGGTGTTCGATGATATATATGCTGGAGTAGTGGAAACAAAGCAGATGCGGGGTGGATATAGGTAAATTGCTATTTATCTTACGCTATTGCTTTTAGTGAACATCATGCTTGAATTTTAGCACTTAGCGGGGCATGTTAAATTGAGCAACTTGTTATATGCTTACTCTTAACTCTTGAGTATACATTATGTTGACGTTACACCGAATATAATCTGCAAGTATCTGTTGTTTTATGCAGAGTTTGTTTCTAGAAGTCATGAATGTGTCAAAAGATCTAAGAGTAGTCATGCTTTTTCCTAAACATGAGTTTCTTTAGGGAGACGACATGCGCAAAACCTTATTATGCTTTTGATTCTTACGTAAAGGTTGTACAGAGTTGTCCTGGGAGTTGAGATATAGAGTTATGTGGGAACTGCTTTTAATATATAGCATATAAATATGAACTTTTAGTCAGTTTTGTCTAAATTCAAGGATGATGTATGTGCTTCTCATTGTTTAAATAAACCCGTTATATAACCCGTTTTGTAACTTAACGGTTCCAAGAAAACACGTTATATTGCGTTAAATATGCGTTACGTTATATAACCAATTAACAATTAACATGAGGTTTTTAAGGTTAAATTGCATCTCTCATTAGGACGTGTTGATGCATCTCCCACCGTCCAAATCATTTAAACTCTACCATTGTAGTCCCGATCACCCCATTCTCTTTCTGCAAATATACGATCTCTTCGCCTCTTCCAACCCAAACTCTAGCTTTTTGCCTCCTCTAAAACTCATCCAGCTATCAGCGGCTTCTATGATTCTAATAAGGTAAATTTTTTATTTTTCAGTTATATATCAGGCATCTCAGTGTAAATCCTTTCAATAAATAGTGATTCTGAATTACCTTCCAAATTCCAATCTTTTTTATTACCAATTTACCATTAGTCATATCAAATCTGTTACTCCACTACTTTACCCTTCAAAATAATTTTTTAAAATCTGTCACAAAATTAGAATACTGAGATTAATTTGTGGGTTAATTGTGTTAGTTAGATAATTACTTTTAGTTATTACTTGATTTTGATTAGGTCTTAGTTTTCAGTTAATACTAGAGTTTGTGAAATTAAGTTTGCACGCAATCTCTGTGTATACAAAATTTCTTACTGTTGTTACATAACTATGTTTAGTTTGGTTGACATAGTGAACTTGATTAGGAATTATAATATTTTTGTGAAGTTAAGAACTTGAGAGTTGGAAGTGTTTAGACTTGTTTTTATTGCCTTAAACTTGACGATGTTAATGTATTTGATCATTTGATGACGCTTTTTGGAACGGTTGTTACTGTCATATATGACTAACTTTTGTTAAGAAATTGTGATGCTATAGGTTTATATTTGATAATTGTGATGATATGTTTGAAAAGTTTGGTTATTCTAAATATTAAAGTTATTATGTATTATTAGTATTTATAAAATATCTAAATAATTAATAAACAATATAACCTAATTTATGTGTTACGTTTTTTTCCTTAACCCTTAACACGAGGACAAGGGTTACATAACCCATTTTTTATTTTCAACATTGGTGTTCTTTCTTGATGCGTGTGAAGTTTTAAACTTCAGTCAGGGATATGGACAATCTATCAAAAAATATGGTTAGAACATTTCTACGGAATGTGTTTAACTAACTAACTACTTTTTAGTCTAGCTTCTTTTGACGTTGTTATGAATTAACTTTCATCACTTTATCACATCAATAATTACAGTACTCTAACTCCGTACAAACTATTACTTAAAACAAACATATTTGGTCTCCCATCTGTTTTTTGGTGCCATTCCCACACAAATATGGTTTTGCTATGTACATTATTTGGTTTAATCCCCCCCCCAAAAAAAAAAAATTAAAATAAAAAATAAAAAATAAAAATAAAAATAAAAAATTCTCTAAATAAAAAAGAAAAAAAAGCACTAGTCCAGGTTAAATTCTTTGCACGTGTTCGATTTATTTATTTTATTGGTATATGTAAAAATTTAATTCTTGCACTGTAGATTTGAAATGTGGAGTTGTTGACATAATTTTTTGTCAATTATCTGCTGGATGTTCATTTTCCATGTCCTTAAACTCAGAATAGGCATCTGTTCTCTTTTTCAACTCTGGTGATCTCTCCAAGATGTATCAGAGGTAAACTATCTTCCTTACTAAATTCAATCTCATACTAATATGTTAGTCAATGTACGGGTTGACATGCCATCAGTGCAATGTGCTAAAGAACCTAATTGCTAGTTTTTGGCTCCACATTTCATCTTTTTCATTCCTAAGGCAGTCTTGAGTTCAGATCACAAGTTTAGGACTATTAAGCTATAGGTATGAAGTGTCTAGTTCATTGACATAACTCGGTCTAAAATTAGATTCTCTAGATAACAGACTTACGACCCTGTCTGCAATCTGTTGTATATGAGTATTCTGCATACTCAAGATTCATTATGGACCTTTTTCTTTCGTGGGTTTGTTTTTTGGTGAGAAAAAAGGTGGGTGCGACCATGCACTCCCCCCCACCCCCACCCCCACTTCTCTCTGTTTCATTACTAAGAATTTGACAAAACATCAATGGAAAAAGAAAGCCGAAGTTAAGGAATAAAAAAGGAAAATATTACAAGGATATAAACTAACCAGGCAAGGGTGACCATTACAGAAGATAAAGATTAGGAGCCAAAGTACGCAATACTCCTGAGACCCAAAAGGAAACTTTTAAATGGATAATTATATTTAGTGTCTCTCCATGACATTGTCCTGCTACACCCCTTGCTCCAGAGAAAATTATTTTAGTCACTCCTAATAGATTAAAGTTGGAGGAACTAATCTGCACGCTCCTGTCCCCTCCTGGAAGAATAGACGACCAATGTATATTGTTATGATACTTTAATGATATGCGAGACAACAAAAGCATTGAATATTGCTTTATTAGTATACTTCCCAATTCCTCAAGGGACGTAACCTCACCCAAATCCCAGAACAATATTTTATTACTGTTAACATTTTGATTGTTCCCTCCCCAAGCATTTCCTGGATGGAAGCTTGTGGAAGCTTGTAGTGCATGTATCCTAAAATGGATCAACAACTTATCCCAAGTTTTTTACGGATAAGACCATTTCAGAAGGTGATGAATGAATTTATTGTTTCTCCTTCACTTCTATACAACACGCATATGTTTGGTCCTTGCCATTTATGTTTTAGATGGTTATCCTCAGGAAGAATGGCGTTTTTCATTGTCAGCAGATAAACGCTCTGAGTTTAAGAGGAACAGCAAGTCCATAGAAGTGGAAGTTCCTCTTACAGCAAAGAATCCTTTGTTACACTAAGTCCATGGAGGTGTTATCGTCTAAGGTAGATAGTTCTGGCCGAATCGAGTTTAATTTGTTTAGAAACTTATCTTTTTTATTCTCTACAACTATGTCAAAGTCAGTAGTGTCAACAATCCGTCTGCCTCTTTTTCGGAAAGATGCTATCTGTCCCTATTTGCTAAGTCCTTGGGAGCAAACAAAAAAGAATTTCTGTGAAAAATACGTTTAATCGCAACATTTATTCTGCAAGAAATTAATTGTATCCCCATACCCCACACAAAGGAAATCATTGACATAAATAATCATCGACTCTCGAAAATCATTTTCATAGTAAGGATGAATTACATTCATTATGATCCTGTTGTTGAAGGTTGAACACCTTGATTCCAGTCCATTCCAACAACAGATCTCCAAATCATACAATAAACCATACGTGGTGACCACTCTAATTTTGAGTCACGTATTGCATTGAACAAATTTGGGCAGGTTTGAGGTCAGTGGCGGAGACATTCATTGGCAAGAGGGGGCCATGGTCACCCCCAACCAATCTAATTTTTCAATAGGAAATTTATGTGGGCAGTTGGTTTTGTATAGGCTAATGTTTCATTGACTATTTCAATTTGGTCCCTCTATCAAACCAAGTCAATTTGGCCCCTCCACTCCACCATCAGGTTTGACAAAACCTTCACCCACCCAAGTCAAATTAGATTTAATTTAATAAACAAACAAAAATAAAAATTGAAGCTACCATGCACTAGAAAAAACAAAGAAAAAAAAGTCTTCTCAAATTTCCTTTCTGTACTTCTCTTTCACAAACTTTAATCAAAACTATTCATAAATCTCTCAATTCTTCTTTCCCCTTTCCAATTTTCATTTCTATTTAACAAATCTAACCTTAATTGTCACTTACCTCATTGACTTGGGCGTCTGAACGATTTTTTTGTCGAATCTTGAAAGCCTTTTTTGATTAAGGTGAAGAATCACTATATACCTTGTTTAATATACTTATTTGTTCTAATTTTTTATTTAGTGGTATTGTGTTAAAACAACTTTGCCATTAGTAGCAAATCGAGACAGTATTTGCTGTCTCGCTCAGCGAGACAGTATTTGCTGTCTCGTTGGGCGAGACAGTATTTACTGTCTCGCTCATCGAGACAGGGGGTATAAAACTGCGGACTTAGGGTTTTTAGGGCTTTTTCACGTTACTTTCTGGGCGATTTTCCGGCGATTTCTTGGGCAATTTTCGACCAATTTTTCTCTATTTCTTCTCCTCTTTGTGGCCGATTTGGATAGGGGCTTCGTTTGGAGAGATTCCACTTGGCTTTGATAGGTTTGATTTCCCTCTTCTCTTTCAAATCTTTGTTTGATGCATTACCAATTGATTTATTTAATATTTCTTTGATGCATTGCAAGTTTGCAACTATATATTCGTATTTTAACCAATAGATACTATTTAATATAATATTTTATTTCATTCTGATGTTTATATATATATTGGCCTCCCGAACTAGGAATCTTGGCTCCGCCACTGTTTGAGGTCCCTTATGGCCCTTGGCCAAATGATTGGTTTGACCTCCTTAAATTTTCACTCCAACTTAACCATTGTCTTTAATATAGGGTATCGGACATCTTTTTACAAATTCGCACTGCCAGTTGTTTTTTGAAAGCTTCAATTGTGTTAACTCCTGATTTCTGGGTATGTTCTCTAGAAACGCACAGCACTAGTCTATGAATAA